GCAGTTTGAGGCAATCAGAGTCCAGCGGATTGGCTGGGAAGAAAACAGCCGGGCTGATGAACTCGCCGGCCTCGCTTCCATGGTAGATAGTACGTCTCCAAACCCCCTGTTGATTGACTTTCTTCCGCGGCCAAGCATTGAAAACGCCGGGCAGACGGATGTACTCTGCGCCGAGCTAGGTCCTTCTTGGATGGACCCCTTGATCTTGTTCCTCAGAGACCGGACTCTTCCAGCGGACAAGAAAGAAGCACACAAAATCCAGGTGAAGTTAGAGCGGTTTTGGCTCTCTCCATCAGGCGCGTTGTATAAGAAGTCCTTCACCGGTCCGTATCTCAAGTGCGTACACCCAAACAGTGTGGAGGCCTTCTTGTTTGAAATTCATGAAGGCATTTGCGGCAGCCACATCGGGGGAAGGTCCTTGGCCTACCGAGCTATTTCGCAGGGGTACTGGTGGCCGTGCATGCAGGCCGACGCACAAAAATATGTCCGCAGGTGCGAGAAATGCCAGAAATTCGCCCATCAGATCCACCAGCCCGCCAGGGAACTTCTTCCCCTCACCAGTCCTTGGCCTTTCGCCATGTGGGGGCTAGATATAGTGGGACCATTGCCAATAGCACCGGGCAACCGGAAATTCTTCATCGCGGCCACAGATTACTTCACAAAGTGGGTTGAAGCTGAGCCCTTGGCAACCATCAAAGAGAAAGACGTGAAGCGATTTGTCTGGCAGAACATTGTCACACGGTTTGGTGTCCCCAAGATTTTGATCTCTGACAACGGCACCTAGTTTGACAGTCGCCTATTCAAAGGATTTTGTGAAGATTTGAAGATAGAATTCTACAACTCCACCCCAGCCTACCCGCAGTCCAATGGTCAAGCCGAAGCATCAAACAAGACTATACTGGATGGGTTGAAGAAACGGTTGGAAAAGGCTAAGGGCAAGTGGGCTGAAGAATTACCGAGCGTCCTTTGGGCATACCGAACAACCCCGCGACGTTCGACCGGGGAAACTCCATTTGCTTTGGCTTATGGCATGGAGGCGGTCATACCCTTGGAAGTTGAAATGCCCACCCTCAGAACTGAGAGTTTTGAGCCCGAGCTAAATGACGAGGCTATTGCCTTGGAGTTGGACCTAGCGGAAGAGCACCGGGAGAAAGCCCTCATCCATGTTGCCGCTTACCAACAGGAGCTCTCCAAGAAGTATAACAAGACAGTGCACCCCAGATCGTTCAAAGTTGGGGATTGGGTTTTGAGGAAGACTATGGGCAACACCCTGGTGCCAGGAGAAGGCAAACTAGGGGCAAATTGGGAAGGACCTTACAAGATCACTGGTCTGGCTGGCAAGGGGGCTTACCACTTGGAGGATCTAGAGGGAAGAGCCATACCCCGGCCATGGAATGCGGCCAACTTGAAATTGTATTATTTTTAAGCTTTTTACTTTCCTCTTTTTGTAAAGCAATTTTTTGGCTTGTAAAGCAGAATGTAATTCTTTTTGTCAAATTATAGAAGTCATTTTGCATTAGCACTTGGATTGTTCTTTTAATGTTTAAAACCGAGATGGTGTGCTCCGGTTGGAAGAGTTGGTGTTTTGTCCAACTTAAAAATCCCAACCGAGATGGTGTGCTCCGGTTGGAAGAGTTGGTGTTTTGTCCAACTTAAAAATCCCAACCGAGATGGTGTGCTCCGGTCGGAAGAGTTGGTGTTTTGTCCAACTTAAAAATCCCAACCAGATGATGTATTCCGGTTGGAAGAGTTAGTGTTTTATCCAACTTTGGATTCCCAACCGAGATAATGTACTCCGATTGGAAGAGTTGGTGTCTTGCCCAACTTAGGATTCCCAACCGAGATGATGTACTCCGGTTGGAAGAGCTGGTGTTTTTTCCAACTTCGGATTCCCAACCGAGATGATGTACTCCGGTTGGAAGAGCTGGTGTTTTTTCCAACTTCGGATTCCCAACCGAGATGATGTACTCCGGTTGGAAGAGCTGGTGTTTTTTCCAACTTCGGATTCCCAACCGAGATGATGTACTCCGGTTGGAAGAGCTGGTGTTTTTTCCAACTTCGGATTCCCAACCGAGATGATGTACTCCGGTTGGAAGAGCTGGTGTTTTTTCCAACTTCGGATTCCCAACCGAGATGATGTACTCCGGTTGGAAGAGCTGGTGTTTTTTCCAACTTCGGATTCCCAACCGAGATGATGTACTCCGGTTGGAAGAGCTGGTGTTTTTTCCAACTTCGGATTCCCAACCGAGATGATGTACTCCGGTTGGAAGAGCTGGTGTTTTTTCCAACTTCGGATTCCCAACCGAGATGATGTACTCCGGTTGGAAGAGCTGGTGTTTTTTCCAACTTCGGATTCCCAACCGAGATGATGTACTCCGGTTGGAAGAGCTGGTGTTTTTTCCAACTTCGGTCCCCAAGATTTTGATCTCTGACAACGGCACCCAGTTTGACGGTCGCCTATTCAGGGGATTTTGTGAAGATCTGAAGATAGAATTCTACAACTCCACCCCGGCCTACCCGCAGTCCAATGGTCAAGCCGAAGCGTCGAACAAGACTATCCTGGATGGGTTGAAGAAACGGCTGGGAAAGGCCAAGGGAAAGTGGGCTGAGGAATTGCCCAGTGTACTTTGGGCATACCGAACAACCCCGCGACGTTCTACCGGGGAAACTCCATTTGCTTTGGCTTACGGCATGGAGGCGGTCATACCCTTGGAAGTTGAAATGCCCACCCTCAGAAGCGAGAGTTTTGAGCCCGAGCTGAACACCGAGGCTATTGCCTTGGAGCTGGACCTAGTGGACGAGCGTCGGGAGAAGGCCCTCATCCATGTGGCCGCCTACTAACAGGAGCTCTCAAAGAAGTATAACAAGACGGTGCACCCCAGACCGTTCAAAGTTGGGGATTGGGTTTTGAGGAAGATTATGGGCAACACCCTGGTGCCAGGAGAAGGCAAACTAGGGGCAAATTGGGAAGGACCCTATAAGATCACTGGTCTGGCTGGCAAGGGGGCTTACCACTTGGAGGATCTAGAGGGAAGAGCCATACCCCGGCCATGGAATGCGGCCAACTTGAAATTGTATTATTTTTAAGCTTTTTGCTTTTTACTTTCCTCTTTTTGTAAAGCAATTTTTTGGCTTGCAAAGCAGAATGTAATTCTTTTTGTCAAATTATAGAAGTCATTTTGCTTTAGCACTTGTATTATTGTTTTAATGTTACGAATCGAGATGATGTACTCCGGTTGGAAGAGTTGGTGTTTTGTCCAACTTTGGATTCCCAACCGAGATGATGTACTCCGGTTGGAAGAGTTGGTGTTTTGTCCAACTTTGGATTCCCAACCGAGATGATGTACTCCGGTTGGAAGAGTTGGTGTTTTGTCCAACTTTGGATTCCCAACCGAGATGATGTACTCCGGTTGGAAGAGTTGGTGTTTTGTCCAACTTTGGATTCCCAACCGAGATGATGTGCTCCGGTTGGAAGAGTTAGTGTCTTGCCTAACTTTGGATTCCCAACCGAGATGATGTGCTCCGGTTGGAAGAGTTAGTGTCTTGCCTAACTTTGGATTCCCAACCGAGATGATGTGCTCCGGTTGGAAGAGTTAGTGTCTTGCCTAACTTTGGATTCCCAACCGAGATGATGTGCTCCGGTTGGAAGAGTTAGTGTCTTGCCTAACTTTGGATTCCCAACCGAGATGATGTGCTCCGGTTGGAAGAGTTAGTGTCTTGCCTAACTTTGGATTCCCAACCGAGATGATGTGCTCCGGTTGGAAGAGTTAGTGTCTTGCCTAACTTTGGATTCCCAACCGAGATGATGTGCTCCGGTTGGAAGAGTTAGTGTCTTGCCTAACTTTGGATTCCCAACCGAGATGATGTGCTCCGGTTGGAAGAGTTAGTGTCTTGCCTAACTTTGGATTCCCAACCGAGATGATGTGCTCCGGTTGGAAGAGTTAGTGTCTTGCCTAACTTTGGATTCCCAACCGAGATGATGTGCTCCGGTTGGAAGAGTTAGTGTCTTGCCTAACTTTGGATTCCCAACCGAGATGATGTGCTCCGGTTGGAAGAGTTAGTGTCTTGCCTAACTTTGGATTCCCAACCGAGATGATGTACTCCGGTTGGAAGAGTTGGTGTTTTGTCGAACTTAGGATTCCCAACCGAGATGATTTACTCCGGTTGGAGGAGTTGGTGTTTTGTCCAACTTCGGATTCCCAACCGAGATGATGTACTCAAGTTGGAAGAGTTGGTGTTTTGTCCAACTTCGGATTCCCAACCAAGATGAAGTACTCCGGTTGGAAGAGTTGGTGTTTTGTCCAACTTCGGATTCCCAACCAAGATGAAGTACTCCGGTTGGAAGAGTTGGTGTTTTGTCCAACTTCGGATTCCCAACCAAGATGAAGTACTCCGGTTGGAAGAGTTGGTGTTTTGTCCAACTTCGGATTCCCAACCAAGATGAAGTACTCCGGTTGGAAGAGTTGGTGTTTTGTCCAACTTCGGATTCCCAACCGAGATGAAGTACTCCGGTTGGACCAACTTCGGACTCCCAACCGAGACGATGTACTCCGGTTGGAAGAGTTGGGGTTTTGTCCAACTTCGGATCCCCAACCGAGATGGTGTACTCCGGTTGGAAGAGTAGGCGATTTGTCCAACTTAGGATCCCAACCGAGATGGTGTACTCCGGTTGGGAGAGTTGGTGTTTTGTCCAACATTAGGTTCCTCAACCGAGATGATGTACTCCGGTTGGAAGTGTTGATTTGTTCAACTTAGTTACAGCCGAAGTGGCTATTTCGATTCATGAATTTGTCTTGTTCTGCTGAAGTACTTAGACCGTGTTATGTATTCCGGTTCGATGAGTTATACCGAGATATTTTGCTGAAGACAGAACTGATTACAACCGTGCATACACTTGCAAAAATTTGAATTTTCATTGATAAGAAATTCATTACAAAAAGTGGGGACCAAGCCCGGTTACATCAGCAGTGTGGAAAGCAAAAATACAAGAGAGAAGAAAATTAAACTAGAGGGGATAGATGAGTGAATTCGTCCTCGCCGGCTTCAAGGTCAACAGTTGGACCGGTATCTTGGGCACCGGGTTCTTCAATGCCGGGCTGCTCCTGCACCTCGGCCTCTTCTTCCTCAGAATCTGTCTCCCCATCCCCATCTTCAAGTCCCTCCTCGGCCTCAGTCTGTAAAGCGCTGAAAACATCGTTGGCATATGGCACGAGGTAGACCGGTAGTGAAGCTTTGGGAGGATTGGCAAAAACATCGGTGTCAGAGCCCTGGTCGAGCTGTTCGCAAGCGGATTTCCAGCCAGCCTTGAAGAATATGTCTTGTGTCGCAAAGACTTGCTTCTTGTAATTCTTCTCGGCCTCGTTGAAACCCGCGTTGTTGGCAGCCCGGCAAGCCTTCTTCTTCGTCTTCTTCAAAGTGTCAACCTCGGCCTGGAGTTCACTTCGTTTTTTCTCGGCTGCGTCCAGCTGACCGAGAAGTCTGTTATTGTCAGCGTTTGCTATCTGGAGGGAAGCCTTAGCCCGGCCGAGATCAGCTTGAAGGCTCTCTCTACCTGGCTGGCTGTGTCGTTTGCCTTTTGCCTAAGCCGGTGGATGCGCTCCAAAACAAGATGTTGTTTTTGAATGGCCTGCACAAAAGCGAAGTAGATTAGAAAGGAGACTGAGAAGAAAAATTACCGGGTAAACACTTTGTGAAATTTTCAAAAGGACGCCGACTTACCCTGGCCATGGACTTCACGGATGACTTGACCAACCGAGTGTCAGGGACGTGGTCACTGCCGACCACGTCGCTCGGTAGTAGGAATGCTTTGGACAGATCAAAGGCGAGCAGATGCTCTTTGTCAGCCTTGATCGAGGCAGTAGCCGGGATGTCCTGACCCCGGTGTTTCAACTGTGGACGCCAGGCCGGCACTGGGGCGGGGGCGTCAGTCGGATGCTCGGTAGTTAGCTCGGCGACTAACTCGGCAGATGGGTCTGCCCGAGCCCTTTTCCCGGCCCGCTGCGCAGAAGGTTCTCGGCTGGACTGGCCGGTCGGTGGAGAGGCAAGGGCGACCACAGCGCCACTGGATTGACCGGCGATGGGTGAGCGAGTTGAAACGCTCGGCAGCTCGGCAGATGTGGCGGTGAGCAAGTTTTTGATTCTGCTGCGCTTGGCCATCTCCTGTTCTTTGGTCAGGCGAACGAGGGGCACGTCTGGCAGAGTAGGATCCGGTGGAGGAGTTGGAGCTCGGAGGAAGTCGGTAACCTTACTCCGGCGGGGAGCAGAGTATCTATATGTGGGACTGTAGCCAAGGAGTTGGTTACAATCTCGGTCACGGTAGCGGAGCGCGGTCCTGATCGCCTCGACGTTGGGGAAATTGTAGTTGGCTTGCAAGGCTTGGATGGCTGCAAAAGAAACAAGAGAATCATTAGTCTACAGAAACATCAAGTGTAAAAACCGAGATAATTTGCACGGCTTACATGTGCTCCCAAAATTTTTGCTAATCATCCAGCCCGGTACCTCGGCTGTCTCGTAGTTACCGGACACCCAGAAGAAATCATCGTCGTGGAGATCCTTGTCTGGTGTGCCGGTCACGATTTTCTCTCTGCCCGGTCTAATCTTGAGGTAGTAAGCAAAACCATCACCGGTGTGGCCCATTGTGTATTGCCTCAGAATCTCGGCTAGGCCTAAGTTGATGCCTAGCCGATTGTTCAACTCGTGAACGCCGTTGATTATTCTATAAGTGTTGGTGGACACTTGGGTTGGCGCTAGCCCGGTTCGGCGTAAGAACTCGGTAATCAGTGGGTTGAGAGGGAAACGAAAGCCCCCTTCGACAATGGACAGCACGGTGAAGGGGCATTCCTCCCTACCCCAAGGCGTGGTCTCTTCTTCGGCCAGCTCGAGATGGACGTCGGCCGGGACGCCGTATTGTCCATAGAGCTGTGCTTACATGGCACATCATAACAAACCATACATATGCATATTAATAACTCACTTCAGAAAATACAGTAGCATAAGGTTTTGTAGAGACAGGATCATTCAAGTCTAAGTCACCCTATGAAAACTATATACAAATGTGTTCAAAGTCTTCACCAACGTGACAAAACAAAATAGGATAACAAAAGGGCAGAGATGAGTCTCATGCGTGAGAGACTAGGGCAGACTCTTCAAAACTTGGTTGTTCCTTCCAAACTTCACTGCGGCTGGGTTGGGACCTCTCTCAGCTCACCTACAAACACATGAATGAGCGTGAGCGAAAGCCCAATGAATAATATCAAATAAAGAAGTTACGCAAATGGTATTTAGAACAACGTGCTTCAAACGACCTTAGGCCCAATTCGTATTTCTATCTAACATATATATTGAGAGGGTGATTTATGCTCCGGTGTTGGGCCGAGGTATAGACCGAACAAGTTGAGGGCCCAGCAGAGCATTGGGCCGAGATGATCGACTGTTCACCCGGAGATGGGCTACCAGAACTTGGGCCGGGCAGAGTTTGGACTGTGCTGCACCGGACCGTGCAGAGGCTGCTCGGCCAGGAAGTGACCGGTCAGACCAGGATGCTCGGTGCAAGGATTGTCAAGACCAGACAGACCAAGAGGCCGGCGCTCGGAAAGGCGCGGTCAGCCGAGATAGTTGACTGACCGGCGAGAAGGCCGACCAAAGGAGGAGCCCGGGCTAAGCTTTGCCGAGATGCCGTCTAGCCCGGTCCTTCATTTGGTTATCCGGTTAGGCGCTTAAGGTATGAAGCATAGTATGACCGAGGTAGGGCAGCTCGGCTGCCGAGCTCCAGCTATGCTGACAGGCAGTTGAGAGCAGGTGATGAACGGCATGGTTTATGCTGACAGATGGGATAGCAGAGCCACGTGTCAGGAGATGACAGGGAGTGGATATGGGGCTCAGAAGGTATATAAGCATGTCTGCGCCCCCCATACGCGGGACACGAACATATCTGTAAGAAAATCCTTACACTCAAACATTCTCTCCCTTCTCTCTATTCCCTCTAAGGTGTGTGCTAACTTGATCGTCGGAGGGTTTTTCCGGCCATACACCGCCGGGTAGCTCACCCATACTTGTGCGCAGGTAATCGGATATCGACGGAACTTAGAAGAAAGGAATACGGGCACGCCGGAATATTTGCTCCCCGTACATATATAAATATAGGTCAAGCGATTACGGTTCCGAATACATCATATGGCCTCGAGCCCAATTCATTCGTATCATTCAAGTCAAACTGGCCTTTGGTCCATTCGTACTTTCATTCATGTCAAACTGGTTTTTGGCCCATTCATTCATATCAAACTGGCTTTTGGCCCATTCATACCTTCATTCATCTCAAACTGGCCTTTGGCCCATTCATTCATGTCAAACTGGCCTTTGGCCCATTCATACTTTCATTCAAATCGGCCTTCGGCCCATTTGTTCTTTCGTGTCAAACTGGCCTTTGGCCCATTCATTTAATCATAGCATACTGGCCTTTGGCCCACTCGTTCTTTCGTGTCAAACAGGCCTTTGGCCAATTCATTCAATCATGTCAAACTGGCCTCTGGCCCATTCATTTATCAACACAAACATTGTCCACCATCCAAACTAACGAACTTATAAAACTTACATAGAAGTAAGCAATTGGACAAACAACGCATTTCAGATATCTTTGTTAAGATATTACTCACAGTGATCGGTTGGTTGATTTGCCCTGGAGTTTGACCCTACACATCACATAACACATATGGGTCACAAACAATTCAATCCGTTCTTAATTCACATATTTCTCTTTAGGCTTCATTCTTAACCTTTTAACTCATTTACAATGCTCAATGCATGCCTAAGAGTGCTTAGAAGTGAAAGGGAATGGAAAATGAAACACAGAACGCATTCACAAAATTTCAGAAATAGGGGTCCCCGCTCGAGCAGACCCATGAGGTCTGTAAAAGTGCTGGTTACATCAAATTTACGCTTGAGCGCGCACTCGGACGCTCGAGCGCGAACTTGGTCTACATAGCTCCCCGCTCGAGCATGAACTTCCCCGCTCGAGCGGACGTCATGTCTGCAGAAAATACTGGGAGCTCGTATTTCTCGCTCGAGCGGTGGTTCCTTCACTCGAGCGGACATCGTAAATTCTGGGTTTTCTATAATGGTTCTTGAGCTCAAATTCAACATCCAAACCAACATTTCTTGCATATTATGGCTCAAACTTAACCTATACATATACTAACATGGCACCAAGACCAAATTACAATATTATGAGGCTCAATTCCATGAATTACTTACATGCATCACTACAAGAAGTTGGGTCTTGAATGACGAAATTTTTTTGCCTCCAAAGAACTAGTTTCGTCACTAAAGATATTTGTGAGGAAATATTTTTGTCACCAGTTTCATCATTGAATGTTTGTCACTAAAAACCACCGTGACGAAAAATAATTTCGTCACCAATGAAATTACTTCAGTGACGAAATTTTTTGCCACCAATAAAACAAGATTTTGTCGCAAAAAATTCTCATTTTCGTCACCAAATAATTATTCGGTACCATATTTATAATTTTAGTTGACGAATAAATTTGTCACACATGTTCATCATTGATGAGGACATAATTTCGTCAAAGTAAGATGTAAAGGTGACGAAATTTTTTGTCTCCAAAAGTCAAATGGGTGACGAAATATATTTCGTAACAAGAATTTATATACGTGACAAAATTTTTAATCACCAAACAACAAAATCAATGAAAACTTTCATATATAATTTGCAATAAATTGTCACAAAAAATATTTATTAGTGACGAATAATCACTTTGTCATAATAAGAAGTACAAATGACGAAACAAATTCGTCACTAAACTTGTTCCATATTTTATATTTCAATTTAAATTATTATTTCACAAATATTCCTGCTCATATCCCAATAGCCTTTTAAATGTGCTAAGAAATCCACTAACTATTATACACCACTCCACAAAAAAATTCACTAAACAATTGTATTATAAATCAAAATATATTCATCAAACAGCTTTAATAATAATCCGTTAAGTATAACAAAAAAATCATCAAAGCAAATCCCAAAATGAACTAATGTGGAGTCCACAAAAAAAAAAAAAAAAAAAAAAAAAAAAAAAAAAAAACACAAATAATTCAACACTTGATCTTGATTTGCAAGTATGCTTCCAAACGTCATCAAAAACCAATCTGCAAAGAAAATAAACAAGAAAAACATTAACATATTACCAATTACATTGTATAGACCTCTCTATCCATGTCAATACAAATTGTGTACACAATGAGTCTAACTTAACAACTAGAAGTTCTTTTGTACATGGTAAGCTCCTATTAATCACATCACTAACTTAGAGCAACTTCAACACTGCCTAGCAAAAATATACGAGAGTAAACATATAATTTTGTCTTTACTTTGAAAAAAGATCATTTCCATGCTGTAACTGTATCCTATGTATTAGTGATAGTCAATTTTCTTGTCTTATTAAATATAACAATAAAAATAATAATAGTAATCAATATAGTATTTGTCAAAAAGTGTTAATAGTCAAACTACTTATAGGTAAATTAGACTCTCCATACCATTAAGCAACCCACTATAGTCTTAGCAGCACGGACACAAATAAGCAGTGTCCGTGTAGAACACTGCTTCAATACTTACACTTGGACGCACCTAGAGACTTGAGATACTTCTTGGGTGTGTACATTATTTAAATATGCTTTGCAACTTTGGGGCCTCGGCTAACACTTACTCAAGCATAAGGCGAACAATTCTAGCCATACGAACAGCCAAAAAAGATTGCTTGATAACAAAGACGCAGACACTTGGCACTCATGATTGTCATCCTGTATGTCGTCAGCATCTAAGAGAATTAAGAAATAAACACCTGAACATGTGACAAAAACTCAGAGAGTACAGATTTGGAAAAATAAAATATGCACCTATGAGGTAATCCATCATAGAACATGGTGCCTCACTTGGGTCATATGCTACCTCAGCCATTTGTGCCCTACATAACCTCTTAGGTCATGAGATGCCAGCAGGCCAGCACTACCCAATTATTACATTCTTCAACCTTAATAGAAAGAAGCACAGAGGAGGAGGTAGTTCGGTTCTGTTTACTTTTGTCCTCCTTACAAAGATATGTGTTGAACTTCATTATATATCCTTCTGTTATGGCTATAATATTACTTATCCAAAAGAAAGAAAAAAAAAATCACAGAGGTTGAGAAAGAAATGGAAAGAGAAGTCAGCTCTTTCAGAGAGGATTAATCTCGAACACCATATTTAACTTTCCAGTTATCTTTGTACATTATAGTTTAGATTTCGGAATTTTCAAGTCATATCCCAAAATGCTCTGAAATTACATATATTTTAACACCATAATTAGCTTATCCATGTAGTCTTCATTATGTTATCCATCCCTTTTCATTTTTCAATTTTTTTCCCTCAAAAATTACCTTGAAATAACAAAATAGGAACAAAATCCACTAATGAGAAGCTAGAAGCACCACCAGTGTAAGCAAGATGAGGAAAGTTGTCGAGAATGTGTGGAGATACGAAGAGGACAACAATTGCATAGAAAGCAAGAACAACTTCATTCAAGAGAAATTCACT